TTAAAGAATCCGGTGATTAAAGTTCGTCGTCAGTTTAAATTGATCGAATACGTTGGACGTCTTGTACGAAGTACCATGTTGTGGTTAATTAGCAGCAGAAGAGAGAAAAAATCTCTTTACATGAAGAGTTACTGATAACTTCGATCGCCATCGGAATATTGCCGATACAAAGATGGAATATAAAGAAATCCGACCTTAAGTTAGACTCATCCGCAATTTTACATTTACATCTAATTCTGTCTATCCCTGACCTAACCAAGATCGTACCAAGGACTATGGCGAAAGATACTCTGGATTTAACGCAGGCTTAACCGAGTCCAAAACAATCTTAAATTAAGTTATTTCTTTGAAACAACATTGAATCAAAAATTATCACCGAAAACTATCGAATTTAAACTTCTTAAATATTCAAAGAGGGTGCATGCGTATTACGGAAGAAATAAGAAAAAAAGAGAACTACTTTATAAAATTAATCCATTTATGTAACGTAATTTGGCCTGTTTGGTAGATCTGGTATTAAGACGGACTCGGTTAACCCCGACCTAAGATCGAAACGAACACCCATGGACACTGGCCAGACAACTTAGACCTAATGCAAGCCAAGCAGACTTAACCCATAGAAAATTATAAACGTTCGAAGAGAGTAATCAACAAACGCGAGATGCATTAAGCAGTCTATCGATAAATCTTCCACGCTTCTTCTCCTGTTCCCTGGCATCTCCACCCTCTTCATCTTGTTCCTTCGATTCCGTTCGCTTCTATTCGGGCTGAGTCATCGTCCGCGCAAGTGTCTCGAGGGCGTCTGCTAAGTCACATGCTAAATTTGGTTACCTTACCATCGGGATTGTATTACGCGCGTGGGCTTATTCTAATATTTCGGACGGCCGCGATGGCAACTAGGCCGTCCTCTTGCTATACTTATATCAGCTTTCCTGAGCACCGATGCTGCTGTGCCGCGATAAAGAGGAAGGAAGTGCCCGAATTGCCTGGCGAAATCTCATCTATCGCGTCGCCCTCTCGTTCCTCGACAGGAAAATCCTTTGGAAGTGTCGATCGTCGAGCGTTGACATTCTCGAGGAGAGCGGGGGAGGCGTCGCGAAAGTAGCTTAATTACACTTTTATTTATATCGTTCGTGTTTGTAAACAGACGTCCGACCCGTATTATTTTTAAGCTTTGTTTCACGGCTAACGAATTATTTTCAGAGATGTTGGATCCGTTATCGCAATCTTCTGGCAGACCAACGGCACGAGAAGCGATAAATTTCGATCGGGGAACTTTATTTCCGAGAATTTATGCTTATTTAGCCGGTCATTCCGTGGAAACAACCTTCGTCGTTGGACAGATTTTTGGAAAACTGGGAACGCACGGGTGTGGCGGATTTTGAAGATCTTCGGAATTTATGGTAGGAGGGTCGAGTCGATGCTTTCAAGGGATTACTCGAAGAGGGTAGATCGCAAGCGTTCCTTCCGCGATCATGTAACACCCGCGGCAGGACGGAAATAATTTCAGGCTGTGAAGAGGAGTGAGGGAGAGACAGTCGAGTGGAACAAGTCAAGAATTTCTGCATTATGTGCTGCACAAACTCAATCTAATAGCTACTAATAGCCTTCTCTGGTTTCGGTGTCCCATAAAATATCCGCTGCTATCGACATCGTTTCATCGCTAAAATTCATTCACCGAGGACAGCCGCGATGTCCAATGTAATATAAACCTTTTTAATCGTTCTACGAAGTTCAAACAAGGACTGAGATTTTTAAGAATTATTTGTAAATTATTCGGATGTATATTCCGTTCTTTCTTTAGAAAGTTCGAAATTTAATTTCTTCGGAAAGTTATTTTTCAAAATTAAATGACATTAACCCACTTGATTCCAATTTTCCCTAAATTTTTTAATCAAATCGTACAATTATTCATACGAAACAAAGCGAGAGGCAAGGAAGCATCGCGAAGGTATTCGCGGTGTATGTCGGAACCGCTTTGGGATCGTTGCACCAGGAGGTTAAATATAAATAATGCGACTGCTTTTCGCAGTTGAATGAATTTTTAAACACTTCCTCTTTGTGACGGCTTCCGTTACATTGGTCGCGAATATTTTTACCGCGATCGAACACCGATCCTTGGAAATATTATTGGCCGTACGCAAAAGTTTTCATCGTTTTTGTAGAGACGATTTCTTTATTAATACGCTACAAATTGTATAATACTTTCCACCGCTTTCCATCACCTTTTCCCATCGTTTCGATAAAAAATAAACATCGTGGCGAAAGAAATTATTTTTCGATCCGATGAAATCATCAATGAATTTTCGAGTTTCTTCAGAATTTTGAAATCGCGTACCAAAAAGTTATCGTTGCATAGAACGGGACGTAAATAAAGTAAGATAAGATTTCCCTTTCCAGTTTTTGTAATATTACACCTTCTACTATGTAGAGCTTTCACGATATTTTACGGAATCATGTATATTCGAATGATGAAAACTTTTACAGACCCCAGATAGATTCTGGTTGTCAATCATGGTGATAATGGTCCAGGGTGTTTCGAGCAACGATTTAAAATGTAAACTAATTTCTACAACGGAATTAATAAGTTGTACTAAATTTTTTTTAGATCGAATTCTTCATAAATAGAGGAACGAATTTTTACCAAAATTTTTAATTAAAGGTTGTTCAACGCAAATGATAAAAACGAAATGGCGTACGAAGATTCAGGATTTTACAGCTTCCAGCGTAGACCCGAATTTCCGTTTCTTTAACGTTAGATTGGTCGAGAGAGAAAGAAAGTTTGAAGAAGGAAGTCGACTACAATGTGTTATCGGTTGCTTTGAGGCAACCCGTGCAAGCATCCGCGTGGGCGTGCACAATCATATACTTGGGCTTTTTACATAAAGCCTCGTGCACGTATATAAGTCTTTCTAAAAATAGAAATTTGAGCAAGATACTATTAATAGCGGATGAGTGTGTTCCCACAGCCGTGGCTCGCGGCTCTCACTCGGTATTGCTCGCTCGTTACGAACAGCTTTTCGGAAGACCGCCCCTAATTTCGGCCTCCTACAACCGTTAACGAAAGAAACCGAATTCGATCCTCGTCCCAAGTTACTCCACCCCATTTCGGATCGAAATAAACTGGAATCGAGCATCCTCCGTTCGATTTGGACCTCGACGACTTGGCTCGCTTCTTTTCCTCTAATCTTGCCACTTTAGTGGCTTCTACGACACGTGACAAGATGGCGTTATTATGTCCTTAAGATCGATTCACCTGGTTCATCGATCATAAAACTGTCACGACATTGATGTTACGTTTTTCTACTTGTATATACCATAATTTTTATATTTAATCTATTTTAAAAAATACAATGTTTCATTTTCACATTCGACAGCCATTTAATTTTGTTTAAACGTATGTCAAAATTGTAATCAGTTAAATATTCATTGTTGCTGTCTTGTACGACGGAAATATTGAAAATTCGGAACAACGATGCGTTTCAAGGCGAAGGAAGAAAGTTCGATTCGGATCGAAATTGAGCAGCTGCCAATTTAGAAGGTGTTAATCTAAAAATTATTATGGTATCGCATTGCTGCTGCTTACGAATGTCATTAAATCCCGGGAATTAGTCCAAAATGTATGAGTAATAAATTTATTTCTGCGTTGTCTTTGCTGGTTCATCGCTCAGAAAACACATTTCCCTCTGCGGAACGTAATGTAAACGAATACAAAATTACCGTCGTGATGAATATGATTGATGGCCGTATCGACAGAGTTCGGTTACGACGTTTAAAATGTCATATCTTAGTTCGTGTAATACATTCGCGTGTTAAAGAAATGAACTATTAATAGAAACATTCAAATTTAAATTCGGATGTTATATTAAATATTATATCTACCCATTCGTTCGATTCGATAAAAATTTATTGACAGGCTTATTTATTGATTGTTCGTGCACGAGGAAACCGTGGAATTTTTGAAGGATTATTCACCAACCTCTGGAGTGTTACGATTTATAAATAATTGTATTTCTTGCTGTCAAAAGGAACCATTAAAGATTTCAAACTGTTCCCTTCTCGAATTTTGTGCTTTTATTTCGCATTAACTTCTCGACTTTCTTTCTCATGTTTCTTTGAGATTACGTACGCCTCTGCTTTCGTTTTTCTTTCTGGCACGAAGACTTTTAAGATCTCGTATTTATTGAGATATGAAAAATCTGACTGTTCCAGTCTTTAGCACAAATTTCAAAATTGTTTCTTTACGCTTAGAACATTTGTTTCAACAGCAAACTGTGAAAATCGTAATTTATTGATCTTAATGCTCCTTTTTTCATTTTTATTTTATTCAGCATCCTGTTACCCGTGTTTCACACTATTCGAATTTTCTATCGAAACGTGTTCGGATTTTCCGATCCATCCCCTCCCCATCCATCGCTGCCCAAAACAATGCTCGCAACCATGAATATCGAGCTTCGCGATTCGAGATTTTTAATACTACGAAGATTTGGATCGTTTCAAGTACGATTCGAAGCTTGCAACTCTCGAAAATCTCAATGGTCTTGATAGAAAAGGGAATGTTAAGGGTCTCGATATAAAGTTTAATATTTTCGGTAATATATAATAGATTGGGCCGAGAAGAAAATCGAAAAAAGCAAAATAGTTTCAAAGCAAGCAATCGTTAACGTTTTCTATAAAAACTCTTAACGCCCCGAAATCTATCAAGATGTATGCTTCGAATCATATTCGAATCGATACGAATTTTTCGCTATTGTAAATTTGAACCGATTCGAAATGCTCGGAATCCCGGTCGCCACTTACCGTTCGATCGTGGATTTTTCGTAAAGGAAATTTGGTTGCACGACGATCGGTAGCTGCGATACCGCGTAGCTGTTTCGATCGCGAGATATCTCGAGTATAGTGTAACACCCCCGCTGGTGGAAGGCGGCTAGTACTCCCTCTGCCGCCGCGACGTTGTCGTCAACAGGCACTGACGTTCCGATGCACACGTGCCGTGTGCAAACCCCTGGGCTATGACTAGGACGGACACGACGCGAGAACAGCCATTCGAATCCAGTATTAGTGCGGTGTAGAAGTGCTTCAACGGTGTTTTTAATCCGACGCCTGCCTCCTACCCGAGTTTTCCATTCTTTCGTGGCTTCGACCGATATCGGTGGTGAGTACCAGCAGACACAGTGTGCGATAACGAAGGATTCGATCGGTTCACGCGACCACGGGCCCAGCCAGATCAGATTTTCGGGGACGTTCGCTATTGCTCGGTGGCCTCAGGCGGCCGTACAAAGGTTCGATATGAGGAGGAACCCAAGCATTCGAAAGTTATAACGATTTATGCTTTAGGATTCGATCCTCTTGGACCGTCGTATCTTGTGATCGTTGCTTCCCTGGTGACTCGGAGCGTTCGGTACATTCTTAGTAATTCGAGACGAGGAAATGTTGAACGCGTTTCGCGGGAAGGCGTTAGTTTTCAAAAGATTTTGTTGTCGGGATCGGAGACGGAGGAATTTTCATTTGGCCGGGCGCGTCTCGGATGGCAGAGTTACACGTCGCATAAAGTCAAAACGCCGCCGGGCAACGTCCCGATTTGCGAGGCTCGATGCAATTTCAGATGGACCAGATTTAGTAGACGCGAGATATCGCGAACGAAGATATTTAAAATATTGGATCCTCGTTCGAATTCCAAAGACGCGAACGAGCGAAACTCGATCGCTCCGCTCTGCGTCGTTATTTTCCGCTAACGAAATCACCGGATTCACTGAAATAAATTTATTATAAATTGAAAAATTACATGTTGCGCGACAGTTAATTGGCAACGGACCCGGTTGTCTGTCAGATTCCGGAAGACTGATGGTTATCAAATATTTCTATCGCAACTGTTTCTCGATGGCAGGAAGGAAGCTTGAAAACATTTCAATATTTGATCGGTTCCATCGACTTCTTTCGCACGCGACGGCAGATGACGAGAAAAACATTTCGGTTGAGTTAAATAATTAAATGAAAAGTACAAGGGGGGTGGAACAGACGGCGAAAAGGACCCGAGGATGTTCACGTTTCGAAGGTAGGGGTAATGGCGATCGCTTTGTGGAGAATCTAGCACCTTCCCTAATACGGCCTCGCGGGCCGGCTTACGTCTGCACAGATATAGAATCCTCCGTCTCTCTTGCTACTCCCTCGTGGGGTCTCTAGCATCTCTACTAATGCCGTCATTACTATACTTGCAACTATAGATCGTTCCAAAAGTCATGAGACTCAAATCTCAGCTTTCCTTCGACATCGAAACATCAGCTTCGACAGGTGTACCTTTACAATGCGACCTTTATTTTTTTTTCTCAATAATTCGTGAACCATATTTTTTTGGAGATAATATATCTCCTCGAATTTAATTTTCAAACGTCTTATGGACTAGAAGCTCTTAGGTCGTTGTTATTATTTGTATAAATTTTCACTTTTCCCCAGCATTTGATGAAATAATTCCCAGAGTACCTCGAATCGCATTGGTGTTATAATTTTTGGTCGAACTTTTAATTCCGTTCGATATTTGATGGAACCATTTTGGGTTTAGAGTTCCTTTCGCGATCGGAGCATGGGAATTTTAATAATCGTTTGGTTTTCACAATTTTTCGTTGAAAAAATTTGTGCAATCCCTACCTAGTTTTTCATGGAATTAATTCGACTCGATATCCGTGGCTTGAATTCTCGCTGTACCATTCATCGACGCAAGATATTTCAAAAGCCATGGCTGGTTAAACATCTCGTCTTTTCTGACATTTATAGAGACAAATTTAACTTTAGGATCTATAGTTTTCGGAATACTTGATGTCGGTTCTATCATTATCACGGCTAATATTAACAATCCTCCTTCGCGATAATTATTAATGAAGCTTTAAAAACATTATGATCCGATCTCAGTCTTCACATATGAGTCAAGAGTTTTCGTGATTTCATTACCATCCTAATATCATTCACGTTTCCGGAATTGTCTACTATTAATGGGGCACTTCCGAATTCGAGTAGCGGTATAAATTACAAAGGAACTATTAATAGAATAATTATCATTCTACCAATTAATAATTCTATTCTTTCGAAGTGTTTATGACCGAATACACGTTGGGGTTCAAACTGGCCACAAAAATAGACTCGTTCACCGGCAGTAGGGCGACGACTGAAATTGTTTACGTTCCTTGAAAACAGCCGAGTTAGGTAATCGAATACTGAATCGCCGGTGTTAATCATTGTTTACAGAATGCTGGAGATTTAAAAATTTTCCTTCGTCCATAAAGTATCGAATACATGCACTAAAATCATGTAAGAATTAATGGATCTAAAAAAAAACAAAATTTGATAAGCCATTTTGCACCGAGTCGATGCAACTGGAAGTCGAACGCATTATTTTTTAAATCATACGAGTGATCGTAATTCGAATTTCCGCGTTTCGACTATGAAATTTTCATAAAAGTTTGGTTCTCCGAACGATTGAGTAAGAGAAACGATGCAATCGAACGTTTCTTTGAAATTTTAATCTAAATATGTGTATAAGTCGAAACGTTCGAGCGTTCGTTGAAGATAGACGGGCGTGAGTAATTCGCTGATCAAAAATTGCAGTGCCGAGAAAATCTTGAATATTTAGACGCGACGCTAGGAAGTTTTCGAGCTTAGTTTTCCCCATTAATCTTCGCGATTCTCGCGAGTCTGTCGGGCACGCAGTTCTGCAAGAGCTGACTGCAAAAATAGTCGCGGTTGTCGACGGTAAGCGCGAAACCACAAATTCTTCGGGTTTTAGTCTGCGGACGGTTAAGTAACCAAACTATTCCAGCACTGGCCTCGTGTATTTTCGACAAACCGGTCGTTCTACCTGTTACGTATTTCCAAATAATTATTTAACACTATTTCTACCTTGATTGTACGTATACCTATATCAACATCCACTTGCATTTAAATACAAATAACTGTGGAAGTAATTATTAAACATGATTAAACTTAGAAAATAATCTTAAATTAAGTAAATCTCTGATGGAAATGGTATCATACGAAATTGCATTGAATTATATAATTGAAAGGATCTAGTGAAATTCAGGAAACGTACTCCAGATAATTAATTAGGAAATAATACACGTGCCCCACGAATTTTCGAGATTATTTTACGCACAAACGACGGCTCGCATCGCATTTTCGTAGGTGATGCTTCAATTAGTTTATTCAGTGCAATTTATTTCAATTTGAACGCAATTTTCGGATAGCAATGCTGCGATAGATCGTCGATTATGGTATTAACGTGCATTTTTCTTTTTTTACAGTATAAACAAAATGCCTTTTAAACCAGTAGAGCACCCCAAGTGTCCCAAATGCGGCAAATCTGTATACGCCGCGGAAGAACGAGTTGCCGGAGGACTCAAATGGCACAAGATGTGCTTCAAATGTGGTAAGTACTCAGAAAATCACTATACATCATTTCCAGAGCATCTCGCGCATTTTCACTTGCCGATTCTGTACGAAACCACGACTGTTCTTACAAATCGAGCATAGTTATCTTCGAATTGCAACGGTAAAATTCACTGGCAAAATTTACTTCGAACCAAAAATAATTTTTTCGTTCAGTATTAGCTTAGAAATTTAAATTGATACCTGAGAATTAATGAAGACTCTTCATGGGGCCCTAGAGACTGTCCCCTACGTACCCCTCGATTCTTGTTTTGAAGCCCCGATGGCGTACGGTGATAGAAAGCTGAAATCAAACTTTGAACGTGTAGATTTATAGTTAAGCGACTTCAGACTCCCACGGAATTATACATGGTTAATTAATTGATTAATTAATTTTTTATTTATCGCGTTCTATCGTCGTATTCGTTGGAGGTGCATATTGTGGCCGAGCAAGGGATCCGAGTGTCCCGTTGTGCGAAACACCATCGGGCTTTTTAAATTTAGACGACTCTATAAATAAGTTTTATGCTGGTCCCGGATGGTTTGTCTTGGCCTTAATTAGTTTTGCATGTTGGCCAGAAATCAATTGGAACCACCCAGCGACGAACGAAAGGTGCAACGACCCGCGCGAACTCGCATCCGTTTAACAAAAATTTCGACAACGCGATCTCGCTCGAAATAGGACAACCTCTTTCCCCTCCCACCTCAAATCCAGTTGAATATTCATCTCGAGTTTTGAAGGATCGTCCGGAATAAGCGGCGCGTGAAATTCTGGCGATTATTATCGGTTATTCGGTTATACTTTCGAATACTTGTCAGTCTTCGTTGTTCCAAGTCAGTGGCTTGAATAAACAATGATCGCGGTTACTATTCGCAGCGTTGTTCAATCCGTGATACAATTAGAGCGCATAATTGAATAGTTGATTTGTGTTAATTGAGAAGAGTAAGCGAGCCTGCATTTAGAGTCTTCGATTTTAATTTTTTTTTTTTCTGAAATAATCACGTTCCACGTGTCGAATTCGATGAGAGCTTCTTTAATATTCCTGTGCGGTTTTTCCAAGGAACTATTTAACAAGGTTCGCGCGATCGAACAGCTGATTTTCCTTAATTGGGAATAATAAGTGAACCTACATTTAGAATCTATGGTTTTTCGTGGTTAGACTCGAGGAATGAACGTAGAAGATATAGTCTTCCAATGTTACGAGACTTGGAATAGATTTCCATAATCAAATTTATATTTAATTTAGTGGTAAAAAAGAATGACTTGGAAACAGAGATATTTCGATATTATTCATTCCTGTTTCTAGTAACTTAAATCTGACCATTTAAATCTGAAACGCCCTGTATATGTATAAACTAATTTTTTTTATAAGTTTCCAATATTTTCAACGATGCGTAAAATAAATGTGTGAAACTTGCGTTAAGTTTCGATTTAAGATGACGCTAGACACCCATAAAGTCCTTCGCGGAACGGAATATTAAAAAGAGAAAAATGGAAAAGATTTCTCTGAAAGAACTCGATGGCCGTTCATTATCGTTGTCGATTACGAAGAGGCTGTAGCCAAAAGACGGTGTGTCTATGCTTTCAGGTCTCTGCGGCAAACTGCTCGACTCGACAAACTGCAGCGAGCACGAGGGCGAGCTTTTTTGCAAAGTATGCCACGGTCGCAAGTTCGGTCCTAAAGGATACGGCTTCGGTGGAGGCGCTGGTTGTCTGTCCATGGATCAGGGCGAACATTTGAAGAGTAGCGAGTGAGTGCACCTGCCGTCGTCCAACCTCCCTCCACTTTTACCACCTGTCCCAATTCCCTGAACCAAAAACCAAAGAAAAAGAAAAAAAAAAGCAACAATGTAATCTCTCCGAGTCGTTTGTAATCACCTTTCCCATGAAAACCATTCGCGCCGTTAACCAAAACAAATAGAAACACGTACCATCGACCGACCAACCGATCGACCGTCGAACCAGCCTAATGACAGCATGATCCTCTTCTTGGTACGATAAACCGTATCTGGAAGAATCGAATTGGAAGAAGCGGCAGCCCACTCAGAACCCAAGGACCGAGAGCATGCGTCTGCGTATATGTGTACACGGCATCGCGACTGTGCAAACCGCGTTCCTTCTCCACACCACCAACCCCGGTCCCCTTTATCACCAGTATCCTGAGAAACGAGACACCCCCGTCGAACCAGATTTCTTTTTTTTTAATTTGTTCGTTTTTGTACATTGTTCGTGAAATTCTTTGTAACCCTACTAGACTGTAACTGTTTGTGCCCGCCACCAGTGGGCCAGCATTTCGTTTTCGACTCCATCCACGACCCATATTATTTTCTTGTTCGTTTACGTCTTTTTATGTCTTTTATATCCGTACGTCCGCCCCTCTCCGCCCTACCTCTTGCCGCCCCATTGTTCCTCCGTAATCCTCTCTCGTCGTCCATCGGCACCGACAGCGATGATGGTGATGATGGTGATGGTGATGATAATAATATATGACGACGACGACGACGACGTATATAATAATTATAATTAACTGTGTTTTAATCTAGCCGACTATCTTTTGTTCACGTTTAACTTCCCATTCTTTGTTCTTCTTTCTTTTTTTGTCACTCACTTCTGTCTCTTTTCCGTGTGGCGGCCGGTCCGGAAGGACGGCTGTTTATATACATATATTATATATATACATGTATATATATGTATATATATATGTATGTATATACACACTCTTTCTCGTTTCTTTTATGCGAATACTACTACATTACGCTAGTTTATAGAATCATTTGTACCATCTGTAATAAGTGCCATTAAAAGACGAAAAAAGGGAATGAAAAAAAAACAGAAGAATCTGGTGTTCTTCATTGACAACATCGGCGTTTTTTATCCAGAATAAGAAAAAAAAACAAACAAATAATATGAGACGCATACGGTCGGACAAAAATGTTCTTGCTATCGGACTGCTTTCGTTACAATTTTCTTTATTAATTTTTTTGTTGGTTTCTTGCTCGTACAACGAAATTACTTGTGGTACAGATGAAAGGCTCTCTATTATATCTAATCTAATATCTATCTATCTATCACGCGAGCCGATTCTCGGACGACTCGGTACGTCAAAAACATTTTTGACCCGCTGTACATGCACACAACACCTGCTTAGAATATACATAATATATAGATCACGAAAAAGAGAACGTGCTCAGAAATATTCCTTGGCCTGGCGTCGACGGATAAAATGGAGAAAACCAGCCGCACGCGCACGATTCACGGACTGAAAACACGAAACGGTCCGTGACACGCCCAGGCTCCCCCTGCCACCCCCCTTGTTAACGTTACGTCCCTGTGAACGATACACTCACGCACCCAGTCTCCCAACTACCCCCCGAACCCCGTTGTAAGAAAGAAACGAAAGAAAGTACACGAAAGTGGAAAAACAAAGAAAAACACCCTACTACCCCCGCCAGCCCCGCCGAGTGCGAGCCAACCAGACGCCCATTGAACAATATATGTCGCTTTATCACGAGCCTACACGCAACCTCGTGATAAAGGGAAATACCGAGTAACCAAAAAATACGAAAGAAATGGTGAGCACCGAGTAAAATTCCGCCTCTCTCTCTCTCTCTATCTCTATCTCTCTATCTCTTTATTTCACACTTTATTCTTTATTTCATTCTCTCTGCCTTGATCTTTTTGTCACAATCTCTCCGCGTGATGAACGAGAAACAAGCTTATTTATTTTTCTTTATTATTTTTTTTGTCTCTTCATTTTCTTTTCCTTTTTTTTTTTGTACTATTTTTGCCTATTTCTGTCACTCTCTCTACGATTTATCGAATCCGCACACCTGCACGGCCTATCGTACCTTTTTTCGAACACATAACCCTGTAACCTTGCTAACACATTAACTCTGTGGGTGCTTCTTTTAGACGCGCGCACACGCTTTGCTTACAGCCATCACGCACGGCCGTAGAGATAAATACATAGACGAGCTTCAAAGCGACGCGCCTTTTGATCACTTCTAAATCACACCTTAACGATTCTCTATCTTTCTTTTTATCCGCCCTCGGACCGTACGGACCGACTTTCTTTTCTTTCTCGTTTTTCTTGCCCACGTTTCACCCCCGTCCACGTATCCCAGGTCCACCGCACACTCTCTGTCCTCACATTTAATTTATTTTTTCTTCATACTTCCGCGTAAAGTGTATTATTTATTTATTGTGAACACACGATCCGCTTCTTGGCTCTCCTCTCGGGGCTCGGCGGAAGCCACTCGCGTGGTTGCAAAGGGGAAAAGGGATACTAACCGACTGCTAACATGTGCCTAACACTCTAACCACGAAGTTGTTATTCTGTGACGGGTTTCTTGGTAATCCTTTTGTACCTTGTGTTGCCGAACCTGGAGTAGCGGAGGGTGCCGGGAGCCTCGGATTCGTTTAACGCGTTCCTCTCGTTCCGGACGAGCAAGGTCGCCTTTGCATTTTCGATCCGTCGAACGAATTCCACGCTCCTACGCATCGCTTTCAATGCTCTTCCCCTCTTCTTTTTTTTTGTGGTGGTGTTTTTTTGTACTATTTGCTTCTCCCTGGTGGTTTCCAACCCTCTGGTGTCCAACGCCCCCGATTAACCGATCACCTCGGTTCGATCCTAACAGACTCGAAACCACTCTAGTTCCTACGATTTCTTAAATCAATCTCATCCGGTTCTGCCATTAAGTTCTGTTACGAGTATTCTGCGTAAATAAACGAAAAATATCGTCTTGAAGCGTTTTATTTTTATTGGTTCGATTAATATCCCAAGAATTTATTATTGTTTCAAATTGCCGTTTTTCGCAGTGACGCAAAACGCATCAGACTATTCTTGCTTCTGCGAGAGGCAGTTTATATTCTCCGATTCTATCCACAGTTTATAGTCGTTTTTGGATTCGAATCAGTTCTACCGGAAAACCAGTGAGTGTTTCGTGGGAGAAAGACGATAAAACCGAGGCCAATTTACTAAAAAAGATGCGCAGCAAGAAGTAAGAACCCTGACTATGAGTAACAGTTGCAGGAGAAAAAGTAAAGTATTGTCTGACCAACAGAATCACGTATTCCAAAGCAAACGGGTGAATTTGATGTAGGAAAAGTTTAATTGGGAGTGTCAAGTCTGTTATTGCAACGAACCTACTCGTAACAGAAGTTATTGCAGGAGTGGGTGTATTGGGGAGTGGTCCGTGGAACACGCCAGTTGGGAACCACCCTTGATTTCGAGGAGAGTGAGAATCTGACAACTATAAGGGCCGCATTTTTAGGGAGCTCTCGCGAGGATCGAACGCCGTGTTGGAGCCACGCGCCATCGCGAAAGCGCCCGAAGGAGAGGGATGTCCTCGTTGCGGAGGATACGTCTACGCCGCGGAGCAGATGCTAGCTCGAGGAAGGGTGAGTGTCCCCCGAAACGGTAGCCGTCGACGTGGACCCCTAAACGTTATCCTGGTGCCGCGACTCGTCGAAATTTCAAATAATTTTCCATCATGTCGCGAAATCAACGAGGGCGCGGTTATTTCTGGCAAAGGTGAACGCATATTTTCGCCACGAAACTTACGACGAGGCTGCAAATAGTCCGTGGAGGCGCGTTATTAATTGACGTCGACGATCGGACTTCAAACTCCGCTAAATCTCGATTGCGAGCACGACTAATCTTAATCCTGAGCGCGCTGGACGGAAAGAGTTGACTCACCTTGCCGAGCTTCGGACGGCCGCCAATAAATTCGCGTAAACAAACACCCTATTTTACTTAGCTCTTGAGCTATAGCCGTCTTCGTACTCCAAAAGAAGTTCTCAAAATGCCCGTGTTGTCGTAACGTTTCTCAATCTTTCAAATATTATATTCTGTCGGATTCGTTGGCAGTGTTGCACGCATTGCCGAGGTATTTTAACACTGACATTGAGTGTCGAATAGACAAACGGTCCTCGGTGGTCGTAAAAATAAAAATTCCATGGATTTAGATCTGAGAAACGCGCAGGCCAAGCAATAAGTCTTCCGCGACTTATCCATCTGTTAGGAAATTGTTCATAAACTGTCCGGTTACTGGGCTGAAGTGTGTCACCGCAAATGAATCACGCTCAACGCGCGTCTAATAAAATTTCCTTCAACGAATCATAGAATTGGTACACGAACTGCAGTAATGATTATAATTCGGGGAGAAGTTGTATGAAATTTTTCTCATTGTAGATACACCTTGTAGATCGAAGTATTTGAAATATATCTTGGTTCCATCGTTAGAATGGTTGGATAAATTGGATCCGGTAGCGAAGCGCGAGATCGGTTACAAAATGACGTTGGTTCACGGATTCGAAGATGGCCTCGCGTTATCCGATGCTAAAATTGACCGGACTGACACGTTGCCAGAATCCGCGGACGGTGACGTGCCTCCGTAATCTTATCGCATGACGAAATGTGCGCAATTTCATAACAATGAGGGAAAAAAAATCGCGAGTCGAAGAGAAACCGGAGGATGAGTCAGGTTATCTGTAGCTTGTTGCCATTGGTGGCGGCCCAAAAACTTTTCCTGTCTTTGTCGCGGTTGGCAGACCACCAACTGGCCCCTCTCGCGACGTTCGATGTTGGAAAATAACTTGGAACAAGCAACCCGCCCGTGGATTAAGCTGACGGATGCTAATTGCTCTTCTTAGCCTACTGCCAATCCGATCGAATGCAGCGTTGCCTCGGTCCGTGCATCGATCCGCGTTAGGGATACTTGCAAAGTGGTCGGGGGACGAGTAAAATTTACGGACAAACTATTCCAAATACTATTTTAACTGTTCGGAGGTATTGTGTTTCTTCTTTCGTTGGCTAAAACAAGTTGTGTAACTCAAGAGAACAGAAGCTATATTGTATTTTACGGTTTTCGTGTTGCTTCGATGCCAGACAAATCGCGTCTATTTAAAAAAGGTGACGTTTATTTTATCTCTAAGATGCAAGTAACGTTTGGGATTAAATTTGCTACCGGTAACAGTTCTTCGTAAACATTACACGCTGCGTCACCATTACCTCACAGAGAATTAACTGACCGATTTACAATTGCGCCCCTGTGCTCGAACATTGGTGGAGTATTCTAATGTCTGCGCAGCGAGCCAACTTCTACTAGAATGCAACAACGAGTTCAGTTATTTTCGGAGCGAACAATAGGTCGTCTTCGCTGCTTGGAGTCTACCTTAGATCGAATCTTCCCGAGCGAAGAGATCAAAACGATCGACAAAGATTATCCGGAAACGCTAATTATATTTTAGAAGTAAAATTATACTAACCCTCAGTTACATATAAGTTAAGAACAAAAGTAGTTTATTCTGGCAAATAGAAATATTTATTTCTATTTTTAATTCAGTGTGTTCTTATTTTATATTTCTAACTAGTGCACGACGAGGAGACAACTTATTATCCTAGATTTTGATAAAAATTAATATGAAAATACTTGGATCTAAACACTGAGTACATTTCATAATAAAATGCTCGAGTCGACTATAAAATACAACCAGTGGCTGCTATAAAATGTTTCTATAGCGTAAATAAGGGTTAACGATATTAAGAAACCGGCGAACAATTTGTAAACTCTTGTTTGTTGCTACGTTTACGTAAGATTCGTGGCCGACCGCCAATTGGAGACACCTCAAGAGACACTTTTTCGCGTTGTTCGCGAAATAAATCGGTCACGACTCCCACGCTTGGCGAACGAACCCGGTCTCTTTCAAGTTCAAGCGGGGACTTCGAGGTTTGACGAACCCTGATCGCGGCACCAAGGATCCTCCGACCCCGCCATATCGAATTCGTTCGCCTCGAGAATATTCGCCTGTTATCGGGCACACCATGGTTATTCCTGCTTCTTGTGATTAGGCTTACCATAAGTCATGCTACAAGTGCAAAGTCTGTCAACGGTCTCTGGACTCAACGCTTCATTGCGATGGTCCCGATCGCGAAATATATTGTCGAGGTATCTTTTTGCAATCCAAGACGTTTACTTTTGTCGATTGTACCCCAACTCGTTGTTTCTATTTTTTTTTTATTCAATGCATTTTTATTCGTTTAACAATCCCCCCCTTCCCTCCCTCCGTTTGTCTAAAGTCTTTTTACACACACTGGCGCAAAGTGTTTTGTAAATTGTCGCACAGAATGTTCCATAGGGTTAGTTATATTCGTGAAACTGAAGGGAGCCTCCCTTCGCTCGACGAGTTTCTCAAAGTGTTACCACCTTTATCGAATTACCTGTGTATCGTTATCGTTTCCCATTTATCGTAATCAAAAGTGTTGGTTCTATTACGCGGTTATTCGTTCACTTCGACCCTTTGCACTCAAAGAACTTTCTTTGATACGAGCAACTAGTGACTTTGAAAAATTAAAAGTGTTCTTGTTTCTCGTAAAACATTTATAAATGCTAGTAATTTTAATTTAAATCATTTATTTCGTTAGCTTAATTTGTATTGCCATAAATAGAGCTTGAATCGAGTAACGGCGCCAATGGAGTGCAAAGAATTAAATAACTCTCGTTAAGGGAAAACGTTGAACAAGTTTTTGTAAATTCTTGTATCGAAAGTTTTGTATTGAAAGTTTAGTTACAATGGGAATAACTATGTGTAATAGAACGTAAAATTCGTCTATCCTCTCCAAGAACTTTCAGTGACTAACATTTGTCCCTTTGTGTTCCACGCAGCAATGGCACAAGGAATGTTTTAAATGTGCCAACTGCTCCAAGCGATTAGATTCCGTCAACTGCTGCGAAGGTCCTGATAAGGACATTTATTGCAAAGGTGAGAACGTTGCTCCGATTATGTGAGTGGAAACGCAACGCACTGGACGTTAAAACAAAAACAAATTTATTAGCAAATTCAAGAACTGTGACTATACTTTCTACCGATTTTCTAATGGGTCGAAGTTGAGAAAAATTAAAAAGAAGAAATCCTTATTGAACGATAATAATGCGCATCTAAAAATGTTATTCTAGTAGTATAAAAAAAAACATTAATTAAGATTATGGTACAATTTAATAGAACTCACTTCTTCGAAGGACTATCGTATTCTAAAGTTTCGCTATTAGCGATTTGTTCCTTGAAATGTAAATAGCAAGTGAGTATTTCGTCGGGGTTAAATAATTTTCAGAACTTCGAAAACGAAAACGTTCCCGTGCGTAGCGTCCACTAACAACTACAACCGACCGGATACCTTTAACCGATGTTCTCTGCAGTATGCTACGGAAAGAGATTCGGACCGAAGGGTTATGGCTACGGTCAGGGTGGTGGCGCCCTACAAAGCGACTGCTACGCCAATGGGTGGGTTTTCAGAGCCGAGACTGAGACGGGAACACACGAGAGATATCCCGGCTCGGCTTCTACACTCTCACTATATATGATGCGCTTGTCTGCTTAACAGCTTGCTATCCGAAGAAATTCGGTCCGCGAGGTATTGGCCACGCTGGGGTTATGTGGATCGGGCTGCAGTGCGATATTGAGGACGAGGGGTATGCGCCCCCCCATAGTTATGCTATTCCAGTTTCGCCACTATATGTGTGTGTGTGTCTGTACATGTGCGTGTCAGTCTGTGGCCAGCGGTCTTAAAAAAACTTCGTTTTTCAATTAATTTTACCAAATGGAGTTTCTACCCCTCAAAATTTTGGATACTACTATTAGAGAAACTGTCTTTTTTCTTTAAAATCGAGCTATGGTTACCAAAAAAGAATTATTGAACATTTTTAATCGAATTTCAATGAAATTTAAACTCCTTGCAAAGTCATATTTTCATAAATTAATCTTGTATTGTAGAGTCTAATGTAAAACGAGATCGAGTTAAAGAGATCAGGCCCTCGAGTGAACGAGCGAGTGAACGAACGTTTGCATGTGTCTTTATATACGGATACGTGTACATACATACACATGAATCGACGCCCTAACGCTTTGCGCTATTACTCACCTTCACCCACTTTCGATCATCGGGCCAGTCGATCGTTTCAGAGTGTCGAGTACTATAATTTTAAAGTCGCGTCGCGGAAGGGACTCGTCTCGAAACTTTTCTAACCGGAAGATTGTTTTCTGTGCTCCACTGTTCTATCGACGAATGGCCTGACGCGTGTTTGTCCTAACCACGGGTTACCGACTAAAATTTGCTTCTTTCGAAGCGACGTGGAATAACGTTATTTTGGCCTCAAACTTAAATCCGTGCAATTAAAAGCATGTCTTCGTTTGTCTCCACCGAAGTTGATTATACCGGGCCGAAAATATCCGCTTTCGGTGAAGGAATTATTAAATAAATTCAGCTACGCTCGCGCGCGAAGACATTCATTATTTATGACCAGAATAATCAACTTCAATCGCGAATCCTTTCGTTACGGGAGGTCGTTGCAGAATCAGCGAGATGTTCGTGTTTTTCATCGAGCAACTCCTTCTCGCATTTTAATAGCCAATTAGTATCGATCGACTCCTCGTTTGCATGGAATTTCCTTCTTTTTGAATTTACCGGATACTCGGATATCGAGTCGTGCGATCGAAGACGAACTGAGTTTAGCGATCGACGAGCGTGAAAGCCTTGAAGAAGGCGGTTGAAACGAAAGATTCTCGTCGTTCACGCGACTCGAAGTCCCCAGCGCGTTTCTTCGTTTGAGAAACAAGGAATTGGCCGATGATATCGGGAAATATTTGAATACAGCGATGCTGCGCCTCGTACCACCGTGGTCGACACCGCCGTGATCAAGGCACCGCCTGGCAAGGGTTGTCCGCGTTGCGGAGGCGTTGTCTTTGCAGCTGAACAGGTGCTCGCCAAGGGTCGCGAATGGCACAGGAAGTGCTACAAGTGTCACGACTGCACCAAAACTCTGGACTCCATCATCGCCTGCGACGGGCCCGACAAAGACGTCTATTGCAAGACCTGCTATGGAAAGAAATGGGGACCGCACGGATACGGATTCGCATGCGGATCAGGATTCTTACAGACCGACGGTCTAACGTGAGTCGCTTTCTCCATTAACCCTTCGCGATAAAGTTACTCTTATAACAACCCGATACTCTGAGAATGCTAACGGGATCGTGATACATTCAGGGAGGAAGAAATTTCGGCCAGTCGGCCATTTTACAATCCCGACACGACCTCCATCAAGGCGCCAGCCGGACAGGGTTGCCCTCGTTGCGGTGGCATGGTGTTCGCTGCTGAACAACAACTCGCCAAAGGCACCATGTGGCACAAGAAGTGCTTCAACTGTGCCGAGTGCCACCGACCACTAGACTCGATGCTAGCCTGCGACGGACCCGACAAGGAAATCCACTGCCGATCGTGCTATAGCAAACTCTTCGGACCCAAAGGATTCGGATTCGGACACACACCGACTCTCGTCTCAACGAACGGAGATCAGGCTCCCTCGTAGTAAGTTTCCGTTCCCTATCGAAAATATTCTCCCGATCGCAACGATCGATGCCACGTCTGAGTTTTCACGTTTCTTTCCCCAGCATCGACTCGAAGCCCCAGGTCGGTCAGAAACGGAACGACGGACACGGGTGTGCGCGTTGCGGATATCCGGTGTACGCGGCGGAGCAGATGATTTCGAAGAACCGCCTGTGGCACAAGCGTTGCTTCAGCTGCGGCGCGTGCCATCGTTCGTTAGATTCGACGAATCTGAACGACGCTCCGGACGGAGACATCTACTGTCGCGGTTGTTACAATAGAAATTTCGGGCCGAAGGGCGTGGGCTTTGGCATGGGCGCGGGCACCCTGACGATGGCCTAATCATTTTCGAACAGACCTAACGAGATGCTCGAATATATATATATATAAATATAAATATAAATATAATTATATTCGAGATGTATACGCGCGAATAAATGAACGCAACGCGCGCAATAAGGGACCGAAGAGGACCTTCGCGTTGCGCGCGTAGCTTTGCTCATTTGCGCGTATAGGTATGTATATGTATAGGCGCCTGACTCCACGACTAACTCCGACAAGTGACGAAGAATACGCTGCTCCAAAAAAAGAACAGAAAAAAAAAAGAAAAACAAATGAAAAAGAAGCAAAATTCATTTTTATTTTCGCTAACGACCGACTGCACACCGATTCGATCATAACGAAGACTGTACACACGTTTTATCGTGTCGTTATCGGCCTTTGGGGGTTGCCCCGGCGATCCCTTCGACGACGTAGCGCACGAACGAACCGATCACGATTATCGAACATATATAATATGAACGAACGCAAACTTTTATTACTTTTGTATGGTGAGAATTCCGGCGGAGGAGATGCGTTCGGTTTCCTGTCCAAGCCGGGTCGACTCTGGTCGACGTCTGTCCGTAACTTCCGGTTGAACTGGCGCTCGACGAACGATAATTCGTCCGGAGGAGACAAACAGGAAGGTGGACCGGAGTCGTTGCCTTGTTCCGGAGAGGAAACCGCTAACGTCGCCGGCGACGTAGATCACGAGCATGCGAGCAACATAGTACAAAGGAAAATCCGTATACCTGGACTACAATCAGGAGCAACGATGTGTAATAACGACGACTCGGACGAGTAAAAAATGAACAGATACAAGAACGATTATTTTCAATAAATGTATATTTCGAAAAAAAGAAACGAAAATGTGGATGAAGGAGAACTGTTTTCGTGAAAAGGGTAGCGGCAATATCGTCTCGACGGCACACGACATTCCATTGTCAGATCGAAGACGCGTCGAAGGAAAAGTCATCGTCGAACGGAGCCTCGGAACAGAGCTACGCCCGAAGCATTTACTATAAAAATAGTTATCGAATATCGAGAGGACACGACGAATCACGTTCGTTAGGTATCGATTCGCTCGACGCTAATAAAAAAAAACAAACCCTTAAACCGAAAGACCTCTTGCTCTCGCTTCAGTGTCCAGTTTCAAGGTTTCGTATGCGTCTGTCGGACACGCAGCGTCTCAACGGTACAATTTTTATTCTTAATCTTTAAGTAGCCGCGTGAAGATGCCGTGACACGGATAGTGAACGCACGAGAATAGCGATTAATCATAGTGACTATTGTGTAAAATAAATATTTTTCGATTTATAAGACCAGGCTGTTGAATTCGTTTCCCGACGCGATTACTTAAAGATTAAAGGCGTCGCTTTGTTTCTAACGGTTTTGCTCGGTTTGCGATTCATACCCGACGACGACAGCGATAAGTTTTCCTTCGACATTCGACGAACGGCCGCCATTCGGTGGTTCTCTACTTACGATTACCTTACGGTTTCTTCGTCCTTTCATACATCCAGAGTCGAGTAAATTTTATTCACGAACAGCGAATAAAATTTTTAGACTCGTTCGTAAACTAAATTTTGTCCGTTGGTTCGCTCGTTTGAAACTAATGGATTCTAATTTGCGAATAAATTTAGAAATTAGAAGTGAATGAAAGTTAGTTTACAAGTGAATCTAAAAATTTTTATTCGTTACTAGAGAATAAAATTTGCCCAACTCTGCACACATCATTGTTCGGTTTCGTATCGTCGGTGACACAGACTAACATATCCTAATACGAATGGACCTTAATAAATCTTATACACTAACGTATAGTTCTGCGAATGTATATTGAAATCGTCAATGATACACATCAGTGGAGCTACAGATCCGATCCTCGGTTCGGTTTCATCGCTCGTTGTCTGACAGTGATGGGAAAGAACATCTTGCTCCCATTTAATGGATAGTAAGTATGAGTACGGTGTAAAACACTAATCTTCTATATTTATAGCAACAACTGTACAAGTGCCGACCACATCGATACCCTCGATATTATCGTTATGTTCACACCTTAACAAAAATGGCGGAAGGAACTACGCTGTTCAGAGACCCCTGAACGCTTTTCACGATCGTCACCACTTCGAGACCGATTGTCCTCCTCGTTGTTCGCACTTTCGTTGGAAAATATCACGAATCAAGACGTCCAAGCTCAAAACTACGCAGGAAATTTCGCCGATACTCTGCCCGATAAGATTATACGATTCTGCTGAATCGAAATTAGGTCTGAACTTCGAGTTTACTTTCGTAACTCGAAAGTTTATCGTTTCCTTCGACGTTCTTTCAATTTTTTACAACTTTTCGTGCACCGTTTTGGAATAAGCTTCGATTTTAGACGTCTTTGTCATCGGCTACGGATCTGTTAGCTATTTTCTCTTGGAACGGTCGACGAGAAACGTCGGACGGTATGTAAATATCAGCGTTTCTAGGTTTTGGGACGAACAATTGGAACTTGGAAAGGAGGGTGTTAAGAAATGCCCATTTTTGGCATCGACTGGAAATGAAAAATTCATGCAGGATCTTTTAGAGTGTTTCTCAAGGAACAAAAAATGTCTTTATCACTTTCCCGAGAAACGATGGGAAAGTTGTCAAAAATACGTTTAAAGTATGAATGTGATGATAATGGAACTAACGTATATTTTACATTTCGTCGTCTTCTTCTTCGGATATCGAACTGCCCTCGAAATATTTAACGACTTTTTATACGTCCTGCGATTACTTCAACAGTATATTGATATTTTGTAATGAATTTCGATTCATTAACTTGTTCAACTGTTAGTGGTTTCCGAGTTTCCACTACAGAGTATCGAAAGCCACGATCCGCAAGGAAATTATCATCCGGTTCAAAGTATCTTAATCGACAGTATCGAAGCGTCTTAAAAATGATTAATAAGAATCATTAATTGAAACTAATAAATCTTACTGACTATTAAATTAACGGACAAATGAATTAAGGGTAGTAACCAATTAACGCCATTTTACTTAAAACGAAACTGCATTCACGACACTCAAATAGTTTAAAATACTTTGTATATGTACTAATTGATAAAAGTAAAACCGCACTGGAAGCCATACTTGCACATTCATGTGGATGCAAAGTCGGAGCACGCGTTGTTGGGTGCTGTTCCCATGTAGCCATGATTATATGGTACTTTGGATTTGCTCGATTTCATGCTTCTATTCATCTGCCTGCTGAGTTCCTTACTACGTATTTCGAAGACGGTTCGATATCCGAAGAAGAAGACGACGGAATGTAGAATATACGTAAGTTACGTTATCATAACATTCATACTTTGAACGTATTTTTGTCAACTTTCCCATCGTTTCTCGGGAAAGTGATAAGGACATTTTTTGTTCCTTGGGAGACACTCTAAAAGATCCTGCATGAATTTTTCATTTCCGGGCGATGCCAAAAATGGGCATTTCTTAACACCCTCCTTTCTAGCACCGGTACCGTCGATCAAAAAAAATTGGGGTATCTAATTCTATAAATAAATAAAGAAAAGAACGGAATAAAAGTAAAAACTTACAGACACCGCCAAAATAAATTAAACAGTCTCTCGTTTATCACTGCGACGGAACATTTTCGTAGTGGACGAAGGCTGCAACACAAAAATGAAGTAAAACGATAAGAATGTTTGTCTATTTCAAAAGTAATCTCAGCAAAATTTCCTATACGATCGTTTCAAATTGCCAGGCTACGACCGAAAGTAGGGATAGGATCAAGTATTACGGAGAACCCGGGTCAAATCCGACCCTAAGTGCTTCCATAGCAAGAAGACTCGCAAATTTATATTGCCTGTTTATTTATATTCGAGAGGGAAATGTGTTTGTTATCATTCCGTCTCGCTTACTCGATATTTTCATCGACTCTGCTTACTCCGACGATAAATAATAAAAAACGGTCACTTGTTGAAGAACGAACTGTGACGTACGACCATCGAACTTAGCGTATCAATCATGTTCAAGAGTAGTAGATAAAAAAAAACTGATGTATCGCCGATATCACGGTTCGTTATATTTTTATTTCGGGTCGAGCTTTTCTATTACTCAATTATAAGTCAATATAATGCTAATAACGAAGATGGAGAACGAAGGTACAATATTACATTGCGGCGATGTTGAACCTCAACTTTAAGATACGAATTTTTCTTGATCCTATCCCAGGTCGAAGAAATTAGACAGTGCTGATAAACGACCCCCACGAGGAACCAAGTGTCCTCTGAACAGCATTTCCGTTCGAAGTACACGACATACTTTCTCTCTATATTTACACGATTCCGCCGGGATGGAGTAGTTTCGTCAGGACGATTAGTAGAGGTTCGCGGTTTTCAGAGGCAACGGGTCCAATAGATAAGGTGGTAGTGCGGTGGAGAAGGGCCTCGGACTGCAGGAACCCCATGCACCACCACCGCCGTTGCTACCCCGCGTGCTGGGCGAGCTGCCATCCGCGGAGCCATCCGTCGTGTGCTTCACGCTCACCAAATTCGGATTCGTAATTGGTTTCACCTCGTTCGAGGACAAGACGCTGTTCGAGCCACCGGGTGGCGTCGCTGGACTTCTCGGTGAACGACCCTCCGCCTTCACGTTGCTCGCCACAGGGCTGGAAGCCCCGCTGTCCACACCGATCCCGCTCTGGGAGTTGGACTTCTGCTGAGCGAGCCTCTCCATCTTTCGAAATTTCGCGCGTCGGTTCTGGAACCACACCTGCAACAGTAAACATTGAACCTTTAGCATCGAGAAATGCTGTACTCTGCGCAGAAACGTGAGCCTTTTTCCCTGTAAAGCAAATTCCCTGATGCAATCGATATTTGGGCGATGAACATTCTAAAGATAGAAATCTGTAATAATATGCAACAGACGAACGTTATGTTGACAATATAGAACTGTTAAGGCCAAGATATTTCTGTAACCCCTATCTATATCGAGCAAACTTTTTCCTATACTTAAATGGAGAATAAGGAAACAGCATCAACTGGATCTACCTTACGAGGGTTAACGTTTAAGAATTGTAAGTCGAGAATAATTTCCATCCCGTCCCAGCGAGTCTCCGAATCATTGGAAACGAACGAATCGCGGAGGAAAATACTTTTACAGGACGTCTCTGTAAGAGCTGACGAGAGCAACCACTTGTAAAAACGATGATAGACAGCGTGCAGAGCTGGTCGGGATCCCTCTGGCTCGTCAGAGCGAAACGGCGGCAGCCAGGGCTCGTAATTGGCTCTAGTTGGCCAAATGAAATATTTAACGAATAAAATAAACGGAAAGCGGCGGTGACCTGCATGTTAAAGTAGCGGATTTATTTGCTTTACCGTTTATCTGACCAGCAAAGCCACCCTCACCCCTTGTGTCCCGCCGTTATCTCGCTCCTCTTCTCGTCCTCGTCTCTCTCCCTTGTTCGTTCCTCGACGTGTGTGCACGTGGGATCCCACCCCTAGATTTTCCAGGGGCGGCTACGTTCCAGGTTTCGTAGAACGGGGCTGAGTGGCAGCGGCCGTGAAAGAGGGGGAAAGGGGTGGATTCAGAGAGTCAGGGGCGCGGGACACCATGATGAACGTGATTGCCCTTTCCGGACGGCAAACACTGCTATTGGATTTTTATCAGTCGCCGTTGCTCGCTGAACGCGCAGAACGGACGCTGTTCGAGAAATTCCAGAAACGAACTCGACGAACGTCCAAAATGCTCCAAGCTGCCCCCCTCGCCCTCTCTCTTTCTCTCTCTGTTCCAGGGATTAATCGGTCGATGATTTTATAAACCCTCTGTCCGGGGGAATTTATACACAAACGCTGGTATTTTGAATTTTCGACGGTGCGAGATTCTCTCTAGCGAACTATCACATACTGTCAAACAGGTTCCAGCATTCGACAATAATTTACAATTAAATAAATAATTTTGTTATTATCTCGTATACTTTATACAACCGTACCTTACGATATCTAATTAGTAAGTTTCTATAAAAGTACTTAAAACATGGACGTGTAAAGTGAACAACAACTGAAAATATATTCTGGATTTAACAGACATTAATTTTAATCCTCCCCATCCTTGCAGTTTGGGAAAAATTGTATTTTTTATCGAATAAAGCGCAAGGACTTCCGGTTTAATCCGACCCTATATGCAGACCGAATATTATTCAGTCTTTGAAGCACAAGATTTCGACGAGAATTGCTTGGACAAACAGACCAGAATGGGCGCTGAGGAATTCCCTATCGGATCGAATAAAAGGTTAACAAACGTAGTGTCGTACCCGTCGGCGATGTAATAAAATTACGTCATCGTCGACCAAAAACTATGTAACACATGCAGAAGCCGCCAGTACGCGGCCAGTGACAACACTAATAATTCGTATTTGGCCACGGACCAAACCCCGAAGAGATCGTAGCATGTGTGCCGTTGTTTGCCGAACGGACGACAACGACGGCGTGAATTAGGGAGACTACGTGCTGGCGTTAATGTTAAATAAATACAGTGCGCCTAAATAAAATGCAACGAGCCGCACTGACAGATGTCCGCCTCGTTTTGGATAAATATTTAAGCCTCGCTTCATACGCTCCGTTGCCTCGACGTTTCGCTTCAACCGTGCACGGTTCTTCCCGAATTTCCCTTCTGTCGCCCGATTCTGACATTTTTTTTATCGAATATTTGCGTTTGAAAAATAATCCCGCGTCGCTTCTATCGGCTCTGCAAAGTCTCGATGCGAGAAATGAAACGGATTTCGACGCGCAACCTACTCGACGATTATTACATTAGATGGAATTATTCAAAATAATTTGATAAATTCATTCGGTTCGAAAATTCAACTGGATTACTTTCCACGTTGATTGCCTTCAAAGTTTAAACCGAGCAAACGTATTGAAATAACTTCTGTGCAATTCAATGTATTCCAGATAAAGGGTGTTACCGGATCGTTGAAGGGAAATCAAGAATAAAATACGCAAGCGCGAAAGACTAATGTTAGAAATAATCGCTGAATACATTGAAATGAATATTGCACGGCGAATTGAGAGTAAAAGCAATCACGGGTAAGAACTAGCGACGGATCCAACAGGGTAACTTTCCCTTGTGGTTAGAACTTCCGACTCAACACTGATGAAAATTACTTCCTCCGATGGTTTTTATAGAGATAATACTTTACGTCCTCGAAGGGTGGGAAATAGAATAAAACGAGAGAGCTCTCCTCCGGTCTTTTGCATCCGAAGGAATCGATGAATTTTTACAATCGTTTTGTTCAAAGTAAAGAACAGCAAAATTTTAGGGTCTAATAGGGATTACATTGTCAATGTACTGAGGTGTATTGTTAGGAAAGTTGCTTGCGTTTCGCTGTTCTTGGAGGGAGGAATACTTTTGGGGTTAGCGTAACTGTTTCGTCGAGCAAACCCGAAAGCTTATGGACCGAACATTAGGAATTCTGGTGTGGTAGGAACATCGGGTTCGAGCCGTATTTACTCGTTCGATTAACCCCGCGATTGTGACTCGTCGTGATTTCCTCCTTCTGGACCAGTTAACCGAGGATTTCGTATTGCTATTCAGCCCTTAGGGCGTCTTCGTCCGACTACAACGACGAAAGTTCAATCCCAACAACATCGTGCGCTTCTGGATTTTTCTAAATGCTCTACAAACAGTGCCAAAGTGGCTACGAATTTTATTTATTATCAATATAAACGATAGGAAGCATATCCATACGATCAATGAATTTTGTGCATTAAAAAAACATTGAATTACTATATTTTCTAACAGAATATCAAAGCTCGATAATTTAATAAATAAGTTGTTGTTTTCGTTCGAATATTTTGAAATTGTAATATTTGGCACAATAAACGTTTTAAATAATTTCATAAGCCTTCGTCGACTATAAATTTGAAAAAATAGTCGAGAATAGCGAGATTTACACGACAGTCTCAAGTTTCTTCGGGATTTGGAAACCACGGTTACAAATTCTATTAAAAACGAACGAACTTTTCGTTCAACCGAATAAACACACTATTGAAACGCTGGCCAATAATTCATCGTGCATTCGCAGATCCCGTGTCCCGCGCTATCATCCCGTTCATCGTGGACACCAAAGTGGAATAGAGAGCCATTGACATCGAATCGTCACGGTTCTGGTCAGACACGAAAGTGGATACACAGTTAATGAGACCTGTCTAAGCGATTTATTCGTCAGGCACTGTGGCATTGGTCCGACCGACGGATGCATCTCTTAATCAAGATTTCGACTGCAGAGCCATGCGTTTCCGCCCCGAACTTATTTGGCTAATTGAAGAAGGCGATCCAGATGCGGCTGAGAGTGTCGCAGTGGCCATCGGTTGTAATCCCATTACACCGCGTCTGATTTGATGGTCTTAATGAATCCTTCATTGCTAACAGCTTTGCTCTTCGAACCCAGAGCGGATAGCTTATCGAGACGTTTTATTTTGATACGGAAATTTAGATCTTTTTCAAACCAATATGTAAATTTAATCGTTTGTTACCGAGAAATAATCCGAATAAAATTGATAATAATTTTGAAACGAGCAACCATTCGTCTAATTGATCGACGAATCGCGCCTGGCGTTACGGTAATTCGCCTCGATTATTGGATTCTGCGATATTGATAGGAACGTTTTCGGATACATCCTTATAACTCGCTTAATGCGACGCATCGAGAGAATCTTGGACGTGCTATGAATGTTTGAAGTGGTTCAGCATGCTCGAGCATGCGAGGCGAATCCTTCATTCTGATCGCGCGTCGCGTCTCTTGAACGTATTGCACCGAAGATTGATCAATAGTTGGGCGAAATTTTAGTCGAACAAAACCAATAAAACCAATGTAAAACAATTTCTTCCCGAGCAAACGATCCGAAAGTTCTTATCCGTTCCTTGCGAAATCTTTCGTTTTATAATTGGAGTTTTCATTTCTGTTTCACGAATAACAGATAACTATATTTCTCATAATTCATTCAGTTTTGGAGCACATGGAGCACTTAAGTTAGAACTTGAAACGAAAAGGAGCAAATTCCCGACTCGTTGCACCCGTCCTTCCGAGCAAAATATATCGTTTCGTGTCTTAAGTTAAAACTAAACAACTGTACACAAAAGAAAAATGTAATCATTTTCGATGTTGCTACATTTCCTATAACTTTCGATTCATCGTTATTCAGAAGCGAAAGAGTTTAGAAAGATTCCAAGTATTGGCCTGTTTCTCGACCCCAAAATCCAAATGGACCTCTCTAACCGTTACTGTTCGCATAACCAGCACAAGTATTCGGGAACGACCATTAAAGAAGTTCAAGCGTAAACGCGGAATTGCTCTGCGCCACACGCTTCTGGATGTTTGCAGCTCCCGACGTCGTTCTCGGTGGATGATACCCAGCAGGACAGTTTTTAATCACCGTAAGTGGATCTACATAGAGTTCGCAATTACCAGGGCACACTCCAGGCATGGGCCCCTTGTGTATCAGCCCACCCTCGGCCCGCCAGCCACCGAAGCACTGCGAGCACCAGAACCGAGCCAACTCGAATGTTTTCCCCATTTCATCCCTCCGTGGAAGTAGCAGCCCCTTCTTCCGACCGCCGTTACCCTCTTCTCCTCTCCAGTCGTCTCGCCTTTCCATCCAGAATCCTTCTTCAAGAGTGTTATTGCCCATTTTTGTTCCGCCATGCCCGGTGCGCCTTCCTGATCTTTGCTTCCTCCTTCCTACATTTTTCTTCCTATTCCTGCCAGAGGA